CAAAAATCTACTCATGATCAACAAGCCATATTCAAACAAAACAACCACCCACCCACCAATGATGACTTCTCAATTAAGGTTATGTTTTAAAATGTCTGTGCTCACTAGTTTTATTTATCCCAGAAGAAGGAAGCTGGGAGATCAGGGTCAAATCCTCCACTTGTATTAATTCTGGGGAAATTGGCGTTTTAAGGGGCTTTAGACACCCTGCAGAATCTCCAGATTCTTGTTTGCATTTCTTGCTGCGCGACTTTCCTGAAGCCAGGCTGGAGAGCAGCAGTGCCGATTTCTGAATGTTGGCAGAACTGCTAATATCAGCTTCATATTTTTTCTGACTTTGAGGCTTAGGTGATATCTCCTGAATAAATAATAAGAAATTGATACTTTTATTGCATTTTCTTCACTGTAGCTCTCGCATTCTACTTTGTTTTTGTTTTTGTTTTAAAAAAAGCAATTTTAGCATTTAAACATTTTTTTTTCAGTAGGAAAGAAAGATTTAAATCAAGCATCTTAACGTTTAAAAAGGAACAAGGCCAAAGGCCGTCATCCCAATCCAGTGATCTCCTCTCCACAGTAGGCCTGTTCTGTGAACATCTCCTCCTTCATTTCCCAGAGAAATAATGCAGTCTTGCATAACACAGCAGGAGGAGAAGAAAGGGTATTTCTTCCATGTCTGAAGTAAACCCTTCCATCATATGCAATTTACACTTCATATTGATCTCTGGATTAGGATGTGAAGCCATACCCATCTCTTCAGACTGAGCATCATAATTCTTCCAAACATATTAATCTCGGATTGAGTGGACCAAATTTTGCCATGTTTCTGTATCAGGAGTTTCTATAGCATTCCTTAAAAAGCACAATTAAGGAGTTTGCAATTATAAAACTCGGTTGTGTTACAAAACTATCTAGTGATGCAAATATTCTAGCTTCCTGTTTGCCAGATTCAAAAATCATTAAATGAGTCATTATTAAAATCCACAATTTCCCACATATGTAGGTCAGTCTGAATACAAGATATGAAGAGGCTGGCAGGGTCCCTTTACTTTTTTAAATCATTGACTATATTCTGTATTTTAGCACATAATCTGGATATCACCTGTACATTAGCTGTCATAAGGACCACAAAATTTGTCAATTAAAAGCAATAACAACGAGTGTCATCTTATCAAGTCAGGAAAAACAAAGCATATATTTTCAAAATGTAATGACTCTACATCCGTTTTGTTCAGTACACATAATGAATCATCATATTCACATAACCTGAATTTACAAATACCAGCATTTTACATACATGTCTAGAGAGCTATTCCCCCACACACAGTTCAAACCACTTTCATCTGGCAGAGCTAAATATTGTGCCAGTAAGCCTTTCGTTCAAGCACTGGGGGAAATTCAGGATCATTTGCCTTTTCATTAAAAACAGACAAGTAAACTTACATAGTAAGAATCAAATTCATGACCCAAAACGTGTTCTCCAGGCTGAGACTTTTGCATCAAAAGATGGATGTTAGGCACGGATGACTAGATAAATAATGTAAAGCAGTCCTAGGACGTGCATGAACTATGCAAAGAAACTGCCCCAACCACAATAGGATTAGTGTCGTGCTTGATAAGACAGAATGTGGTTCTAGTTCAATGTCCTTGCTACATTCAATGTAATGGAAATATGATGTAAAGGCTGGCGGAGCAAACATTCCATTCAATTGTCATCCATGCTAACCCTGATCCAGTTATGCATGTACACTGAGCATCGCTTGTTCATGTAAAACAACTGGAAGACTGTAGGACATGGCTAAAGCTGGTTAAGAAAATTGCCAGAAATTAATTAGAGCCATAGCTTGTAAATAAATGATTTTATTGTTCATCTTCACGTGTGAAAGACATCACTACAGAAACCGTTACTTTCAAAGTTACAAAAGTATTTAAAACAAGGTTTTAAAAACTTGTTCTAATAAGGTGCTTAAACCTCTTTAACAAGGACAAAATTAAACATGAGAAAGAACCTTAATGAAAATTAATTAATCTAAGCAGATATTGTTCTAAAGTTTAAGTACAAGGCCCGATCCTAATAACACAATTAAATAACTACTGTACCTGCAACATGTAACCTGAGGGTTTAGGTTTAAGATATTGTAAACCAGAAAGGTGGGAAGAGAAATTAACAACCAGAGGAGACAATCTGAATTTCTTTTCATTATAACCTTTTAACCATCAATGTTTAGCTGCAGACACCTTGGCATTATAAAGCCACTGATTCCTAAAAAAAATTATTTATGCCTTAGAAAACAAATGTCAAATTTGCAACCCAGTCTTGGGTCCTCCCAGAATAAACCACAATTTGGGCTGTACACACACTGGTATTAACCAAATGTATTTTCTTTATAACCATCATTTGAAAATCCACTTAAGTTATGGTTACAATTTCAGGTTTAAAAGTAGAACCAGGTTTTTGTCTGTGTATGTATAACTTAAAAGACCGATAACTGATTCTTGGATGGAACCACTGCCATGATTGGCTAGAAGCTAAAAGAAAATGTTATATTTTTCTGACTTCTCATTAATCTATTATTTCTTTCATTCAGGCAACACATTTCTTTCCATTTCAAATTCCAATTTTTCTGTACCAATTTTCTTTATCTTTGGTTATATGTTTTCTATCAAGGGTTTGCAAATTCATATTTTATAGGCTGTTAAATCTCTTATGTTAATAACAGTCTGTAAGCTAGAGTCCAAGAAGACCAGCCACATTTAATTTTAATTTAAAAAGTATTGTTTTACATTATGTGGCTTACAGAACAAGATCTGCAAAACTGGCATTTCAACTTCGGTGTGACTATCTCTAGCCTTTTGAGCCAAGCTATTATATTTTGTTTTGAGGGTTAGTGTTTTAAATGGGGGTGTCATGAATTTTTTTTATTTTTGTGGTGGTTCTAATTGTTGTATGCCAACCAAAGTCACTGCTGTGAGATGGGCAGTTGTATAATTGTTTAAATAAATAAAATAAATTTGGGTTGTGTGGTTCATGGAACAGTCACCAGGTTTTTAATTTAATAGATTTGGAGGCGTGCTTGGAAGCAGCACTGTGGAATGAAATTATACCTAATTCCTTCCACTGGCATCGTAACAATCCTGGCGTCATGATGACTCCACTAAGATGTTTTTGTTTTAATAATGTTGACAGGTGTATCTGGTGAGAAATATTTTATCCGCTCCACCTAAAGTTTTACATGCTCTATCTGAACTGTAGGAATTAGATATCAGAATCAAAATCCGTTATTTGGTTGCTAAACTGGGAAAAGTGCCAACAAGGGTTGCATATTTTGAATGCTTTATAGCTTCTTAATTTCATTAGACCTTCAATTCTCTCTCTGCGGTCAATCTATCCTTAATGTGCACCCCAAAAAAATAAAAATCTAAAAGAAAGAAACTCTGGTGCAGCTACAAGTTACAAAAACGCACATTTACAACTGGAAAAATAACAACTCTTATTTTATAACTCTCCTCCAATCCCCACAGATAAATTCCTCCATTGTTTCTCCTGGTGCCTTTTGCAATATCCCTTGTCTGGCTTCTGCCAGGATCAGCCTTAGCTGCAGGAGCGTGGAAAGGCACCATGGCATCAGGATCCAACTGATGTGGAATAAAAATCGTCCCCAGTTGATAAGTTTGGACGTTTACTTTTTTGAGTATAAAGGTTTAGAAAAAGATGATAGGGACAGAAAAAGGAAAGGAGGGGGGGAATGGTATGTTAAATAAAAAATGCTTGCTTTGATTTGTCTGAGGCTAAAAATGGGTATTTTGCTTGAGCAAGGAAGGTCAATTCAGTAGGAAGCTGTTATGGGAACACGAGGCTGCTCTGTGCTTTGAAATATGCAGAATTGCCCTCCGAAACTGCGCAGAAAATCAATATGCAAACGATTCTCATATAAAATTATGAGGACAAAACTCTTAAATGTGGCCCTTAAGAAAACAGTTATAACTGAATTCCAGTTTGGAGATCAGGAAGGAGCTGTAGGATCACTTTCATGCTCCTCCGAGAGAGATTGCCCAAGCAATTTAGCTGCCCAACTCAAACTAAAATGAAAATGTTCTGCTCAAAATAAATAAAAAGCCAGTTTTTGTTTTGATCCAAAGGGTTGATCAATGTATCAAAAGCAACTGCATGAAAACAACAGATGTTCCTTCTAGTCTGGTGGCCTAATTTCTAAATCCAAATGGATCTGAATTAGCATATGGATAAAGTTTATAGATTCCACAAAAAGGATCTTCCTTCAAAACAGCACTGGAACAGCAAGGGAATAGGGGAAAAAAAACAGCTGTGAAGTGTCTTGAATAGGTATTTTTGATTAAATTATGTGGCCCAAAATGAATCAAGCTTTTCAAAAAAGGATTCATTTTGGGAGAAAAAAGGAACAGTGTAGAAATATTTTTCAAGGGAAATTTTTTTTTAAAAAAAATATCTATTCATGAAACCAAAACTATGCTAAATATAACATTAACGATCCAAACTCAGTAAAAAAAAAATGTGAGAAAGTTTAGATCTGTCCTCACAGGCCAAATTTGCTGACAGCTTTTTAAGTCATGCACATTTACTAAGCATACTGAGGGCATGTTCACACGGTAGTTCAGAGTTGGTAAATTGAGAACAAGCTAGATTCAATTCATCTGGATTTAAGGTCAAATGATTTTGCTCTTAAAGACCTAATTTTGAATCCTGTGGCCTACGCTATCCGTCCTAACTATGTTAGAAAAAGTTGTTGCAAAGCAGGTTCAGTAGAACATCTTACTACCTGCTAGAAATCTGGGGATTTCAGGGGCCTAGGATGTTGTACTATTTTATTTTCAACTGTTAACTTACTAGGTTATATAAAATGAGACACTGCAATAGGTCTATCAGACTATTCTAGGAATATATTAGGAACCTAGTAAAGGGGATAGAAATAGCTTGTCCTTACTATCTGGTTGGGTAGAAAGCCTTAAACTCATAAGTTAGCACACTGAGAAGAGGGGCTCATTTCTGGGAACCACTCCCATTGTATTGAGAATAGCAAACTATCCTCTTAGTAGGCTTAACTCACCAGCCTTGTCCTTAAAAGTCATAGTTATGCACTAAATGCAAGGCAGGAGAAAATCCAAATGGAGCAGAAAAATTAAAGCGAATGCAGGCATCTCTCCTTTAAATCTGAACTAAAACCAAATCCCTAAGAGGTTTTTAATGTGTTTCCTTTTTTAATATTTATTTAAAAATCTAGCGCTTAATCCAAGGAGGAGGAGGAGGAGGTGGAGGAGGAGGGTTAGTAATATGGCTCATTGAACAGTTCCATAAACACATACAAGTTTACAACCACCAATTCTTACAACAGAAAGGAAACTTCCCTCGGAGGAAGTTCTGGTAGATGTCAACAACCCCTGTGTGAAGGCGCAACTGGAATTTGCGTCAAGGGTCTTTTAAGTCACTTGTTGGCACAATTTCAGCTATAGTGTAACAGTACCTGGGAAGAGACATCCAGGTGTTTGTTTGTTTTTGTTGTTGTTTTGATTCTTGGAATGTTTTGCTAATGACAATTAAAAATAAAGTCCCAAAGGTGCTTTTTTTTAAAAGGGCAACTGAACTTTCTTTTTTCTCTTTCTCTCTCTCTCTTGAAAACATTTTGTTTCTTATCCAAGAAGCATCTTCTGTTCTTTGTGAACTGAAGGTGCTTCTTGGGTGAGAAGTCTTCAAGAGAAAGTTGTCTTTTGAAAAAGCCCCTTTGGGACAACCATGACCTGGATGACTGAGAATCTCCATAGACAATGAAAAGGAAGGTAACCATAAATTAAGACATCCAATTCCTCTGGCCTAAGGGCCAACGGCAGAAGTCCAGTCCAGACTGCGTCTCGAACTGGCTTCCGGGTTAGGCCTCCTTAGGAGCAACAGATTTACTTCCATTACTTTCATTGACGCAGAGGTATATATATACACATACACGTCGTTCTTTTAGTGCCCTCTCGGCTTCTGCCTAGCAAGACAATATTCACATCACAGATCTGGTATTTTCCCATAGTACATTCCAGAATGGCCCTCGGAAAAGAATCAACTCTACAATTTCATACCTGCTCCAAGACTGGAGCTGCTTCTTTGCGGTCTTGTTTCTTTTCAGCACCGTCAGCACTGACAGCTTTGGATGCCAACAATCCTGTACAAGAAAAAAAAAAACATCATAAAAATAGGACCCCCCGTTTGAAATAACCGCCGTGGCATTGGGTCATGGATGGTTGCACAGGTAGATCTGAGTACAGGTGGCTCTCAGCACAGGTGGTTCCCGACTTAACAGTCGTTCATTGAGTGACCATTCAAAGTTACTACAGCGCTGAAAAAAGGTGACCTAGGACCCTTTTTTCACACTTATGACCTTTGCAGCATCCCTCTAGTCATGTGATCAAAATTCAGATGCTTGTATTTGTGATGGTTTTGATATGTTTCTTTTTTCCCTTTTTGGTTTAATGGAATGTCATGTTTTTACTTGGTTCGCTGCCGAAAGTTTCTGGGACAGATGGGCAACTACATAAATTAGAATAACAACCACAACAACAAATCTGTTAAGATGCGTTGGGCTGAGAATGAGGGGCTCAAAGTCACCCAGCTGGTTTTTCACGCCCAAGGCAGGACTAGAACTCATGTTCTCCTGGTTGCTCAGTTAGAGATTTAACCACTAAACCAAACCGGCTCTCTAGTTCTTGGTTTTATGATGCAAATATTTAAATTGTTTGCATTTCTTCTTAAGCAGAGAGTTAACAGAACAGAATAATGGAGTTGGAAGGGACCTTGGAGGTCATCTAGTCCAACCCCCTGCTCAGGCAGGAAAACCAGTATCATTTCAGACAAATAGTTGTCCAATCTCTTCTTAGAAACTACCAGTGTTGGAGCATCTACAACTTCTGGAGGCAGGTTGTTCCACTGGTTAATTGTTCTAACTGTCAGGAAGTTTCTCCTTAGTTCTAGGTTGCTTCTCTCAATTAGTTTCCATCCATTGTTTCTTGTTTTGCCTTCAGGTCCTTTGGAGAATAACTTGACTCCCTCTTCTTTGTGGCAGCCCCTGAGATACTGGAACACTGTTATCATGTCACCCCTGGTCCTTTTTTACATTAAACTAGACATACCAAATTCCAGCAACCATACTTATATCCCCTAATCATTGTTATTGCTCTTCTCTGAACTCTTTCCAGAGTCTCAACATATTTTTTACATTGTGGTGACCAAAGCTGGATGCAGTAATCCAAGTGTGGTCTTACCAAGGCATTCTATCTGATAGAATATCAAGCTGATATTTTATTATCTGGGAGAGCACAGGAGAGAGGAGGGAATCAATCTGTGAGAGTTCCTACATCCAGTCCATGCCAGCAAGCTTGCAAAACTCCTGGACAGACCCTGCTTAGAAACTGCACGGGATCCGGTTTCTTGAATCCAGAAGTGGCTATGTTCAAATGTAGGTAGACCTCAACTTACGACCGGTCGCTTAGCAACCATCTGAAGTTACAAAAGACCTTCCCAAGGGACTTAAAACCCGGTTCCAAAGTTACGATAGCCAGCCCCACCATGGTCACATGATCCTAATTCATGTGCTTGGCGACTGGCCAGCATTTACAGCTGTTTGCAGCGTCCTGCTGTCCTATGACTGCATTTTACAACAGTTTTACCAAAATCCAGCATTTATTAACAAATAATAGAGGCAAATCTGAACTACAGCAAGCCATTGGTTCTCTTGACAGCTAAAAATCTTTTGTTTAGTGACTGTTGCAAAAAACTAAAAGGCACGGGCTTGCTTTACCCTTTCATTAAACGTATTTTCTAAAATTACCACTCTCCCACTTTGCTAATGCTCATTATGCAGGTAGTCCTCGACTTACGACAACAGAGCCCAAAGTTTTTGTTGCGAAGCAAGACAGTTATTAAGTTACTTATGCTCCATTTTACGGCCTTTATTGCCACAGTTGCAAAGTGAATCGCTGCGGTAGTTAAGTTAGTAACATGGTTGTTGAATGCATCTGGCTTCCCCACTGATATTGTCAGAAGGTCACAAAAGGTGATCACATGACCCCGGGACACTGCAACCGTCATAAATATGAGCCAGTTGCCAAGCGTCCGGATTTTGATCACGTGACCAAGTGTGGAAAAACAGTAATAAGTCGCTTTTTTCAGTGCTGTTGTAGCTTCGGTCATTAAATGACTGGTTGCAAGTCGAGAACTACCTGTACACACACACACACACACACACGCCCTCTCACACACAACTTTCTTGCCCAATATGAACCAGGCCAACAATTTCAACAGCCACCGTAGCTGATCTGAAATGACAGCTTACCAGTGATCTTGTTAAGACGGGCCCTCTTTGCTTGAAATGAGTTGCCGAGATTGTTTTTCCTCTTGTGCGCTAATGCATTCTCCGCCTGTACAAAGGCAATCTTTGGGACATCCACCAGAGGAAATCCTACATAAAAAAAATATAGAATAAATAATGTATAAGCTCCTTATTTTAAAAGCCCCTCTAAGTAAATATTTACAACTAGCTGTACCCGGCCACGCGTTGCTGTGGCTCAGTCTGGTTAAATGAAAAAGAAAGAAAAGAGAAAGCGCACGTTTGTAATATGTTTAATTTCACAATGCTAGCGTGTGTTGCTTTTACGTCCAACAGATGGCGCTGTTTTTCAAAAAAAGCATGTTTTTACCTGTCACAGGTGTGACATCTATATAATAGTAGGTATATAAAAACACGCGCGTATTCGAATGCAACGTTGTGTCAAAAATTCAAAGCAATCGGTGAAGAACTTTCGGAGATTTATGATTTTGAATAAACGAACATTTACATTTTTATTTATATAGATATAGCAAACCCCATATGCCAGTGGTGGCGAACCTATGGCACACGTGCCAGAGGCGGCACTCAGAGCCCTCTCTGTGGGCACACGCGCCACGCCCTGGAGATGGCAACCGTCCCTCTTCAACCAGCCACCCGCTAACTCGCCGAGGTCCCACGTGGCCAGATGCGTCCCAGCACCCATGCGCTCGCTGGCCTCTGTGTGCGGGGGCTGATGGTGTCAGGCAGCAGCCGCCCCGGCCCCTGCCTCACCTTGCCCTGTGACAATGGCACCCCCGCCCTGCCTCACCTTGCCTCGCCTCATCCCGCAGGACAAATCTCCTGCCCGCTGCCCCACCTGCCAGAGACCCCCTGGATCTCCCCCAACCCTAACCGGCCCCGAGGCGTCCCTCCCCACGAGCAACATCAAAGTGATCACGCCCACCTTGGCCACACCCACCCAGTCTGCCATGACGAGTCACACCCACCCAGTGGGCCACGCCCACCTGGCACCCAGCGATAAATAAGTAGGTTTTGGATTGCAGTTTGGGCACTCGGTCTCTGAAAGGTTCGCCATCACTGCCCTATGCTATTATGAAAGAACATTAGAAATCATAATTAAATCTCTGGAGATATTTTTTTTATTAGGATTGGGCAAAAGATACTGTTCTAAGACCGTAAATTCTAGAGCGCTCTGGAATGTTCTGTGGTTCTCTCCCCAGAGCATTCTGATCCAGGTTTTTCCAAGGGCTAGCTGCAATTTCTGGATGGTCCTCCAGGAGCGCATGAAGACAGGAGAGCATGAACAGTGGATCACAATAATCCAACTTTCCGTTTAAAAAATTGATAAGTAAATTATACAAAAGCCTTAGAACAATCGCAAGAGCGGCAATGGCAACAATATAGTAAAACAAATAGCTACTGGCACAAACGCAGCAACGTTTCCTTTGTTATCCTTGCTACAGGAGCCTTAACTAATGCTCCCCTCTCTGCTTTGACATAAGGCAAGCAGGAGATAAAAACATGAATACAAAAAGCTCAGCCAAATTCCTATCTCTGTGCTTTCTCATCTTTTAAAGGGAGTGTAGTAATAATTTCAGAAAGACAGAATTAAAATCTCATCACATCATGCCTGGAACATTCATCCAAGCACGTCTCAAAAGCCCAGTTAGCATGAAGTGGTATCAGGCAAAACAGACGTTTTTGTGCTTGCAACCTGCTGTTAAACAACTACAACAAGCATATAAACAACTACCATTATAGGATCACAGACCAAGGTAGTGCATTATTGATTAAAACAGGTAGTTCATAATGATAATGATAATGATAATGATAATGATGATGATGATAATAATAATAATAATAATAATAATAATAATAATAATAAAAAAAAAACCGTTGGAAGGGACCTTGGAGGTCATCTAGTCCAACCCCCTGCTCAGGCAGGAAACCCTATACCATTTCAGACAAATGGCTGTCCAGTCTCTTCTTAAAAATTTCCAGTGTTGGAACATTCACCGCTTCTGGAGGCAGGTTGTTCCACTGGTTAATTGTTCTAACTGTCAGGAAGTTTCTCCTTAGTTCTAGGTTGCTTCTCCTTGATTAGTTTCCATCCATTGCTTCTTGTCCTGCCTTCAGGCGCTTTGGAGAATAGCTTGACTCCCTCTTCTTTGGGGCAGCCCCTGAGATATTGGAAGGCTGCTATCATGTCCCCCCCTCGTCCTTCTCTTCATTAAAGTAGACATGCCCAATTCCAGCCTCCAGCCCCCTGATCATCTTTGTTGCTCTTCTCTGTACTCTTTCTAGAGTCTCAACATCTTTTTTACATCGTGGTGACCAAAACTGCAAGTCCTTGACTTACAACCGTTCATTTAGTGACTGTCTGAAGTTACAACGGCAGTGAAAAAAGTGACTTATGACCAGTTTTCACCTTTATAACCATTGCAGCAGCCCCATGGTCACGTGACTCAAATTTGGACGCTTGGCAACTGGCATATATTGAAAAGAGTTGCACTGTCCCAGGGGCCATGTGATCCCCATCTGTAACCTTCCCAGCTGGCTTCTGACAAGCAAAGTCAGTGGGAGAAGCCAGATTTTCTTACCGACTGAATGATTACATTAACAAGGCAACAAAGGATGTAAAATGGGGCAAAACTCATTTAAATGTCTTGTTGAGCAACAAAAATTGTGGTCGTAAGTCAAGGACTACCTGTAATTTATAGGCCACCCACAGTTGCTTCAACAGTGAGATGGGCAGCATGTAAATTTAATCAAGGAACAAACAAACAAATAAACAGCTATTTTAAAGGAAAACCATGTATACAATAAATATAGTTATACCAAATGTCTCACTGGATGTGGGCTGTTCTTCTTTCTTCTGGACTTTCTGGACCATGGCTGAAGTTGATGTCTCTTCCTTCTTTGAAGGTATTTTGAACCACTTTCTCTCCTCTTTGTCTTTGTTACTGTTCGCGCTCGTCCGTGGCTTAACTCCTGCTTTGTTTTTCGCGGCTGCCACTGCTGCGGCTTTGACCAAAGCTATCCAATCCTTTGAAAAGGGGAGAAAACGAAAGAGAACAACAACCTCAAATTAAAATCCAGATATGAAGGTATCATAAAGGGGAAAAAATTTTCATGCTGAAGAATATCTATTTTGAATTTCTAATGTTTCTTGTAAATTGATACTTAAAGATATATGAGACACACACATACACACACACAAAGAAACAAGGGTTTGATAACAGGTTAGTTTTATCCCGGGTGCCCAAGCTCCCATTGTAGGAATTAAATGCTGTTAAAAAGTCTAGAATGTTCTATGTCAGTGGTGGCGAACCTATGGCACGGGTGCCAGAGGCGGCACTCAGAGCCCTCTCTGTGGGAACGCGCACCATCGCCCCAGTTCTAGGCCTTCAGCTGGGTTTTATAAAACCTTTTCGCTTTAGGCCTCCGTCACAGTGTACAAAAAAAAAAGGTTCAATCAATCAGTCAATTTCAACTTCTCGTGGGAAAAAAAAGATCTTGCAAAGTTGGAATTGATTGAATGAACTTTTTAGTCCCACCCAATCTGCTGTTACCACCGCAGCCATGCCCACCCAATGGGCCACACCCACCCGGCACCCGACGATGCATAAGTGGGTTTTGGGTTGCAGTTTGGGCACTCAAGTCTCTAAAAGGTTCGCCATCACTGTTCTATGTCTTATTTGGGCCATGCTAATTGTCATGTTCTAAAGAGCTCTTGCTGACCTCTTTAGATTTGGCAAACTGACGTCTAGAAATCACTGAGAGACAGTGTAATCTAGAGAAAAAACAGAATATTGCAGTTTTCTGGAACTTTCCATTTCTGTATGGTAGCTTTCTATACCCCCGTTTATTTGCCTTAACAGTTTTAAGGTTTGACAGTGAAAATATTAGCAATAGCATCAAGTGCCTTACAAGGCGCTGTATAAAACTGTCCAGGACTCCTCCATGCCAGATCTGACTATCTGTGTATCAATTTCAATGGCCTAATTTTGAATCAGGCATCATCTAGGTTGAATAAATAAATAACATTATCTAACCAAACCTTTACTGTCTTAGGCAGAAATCTTTCCCATTCTTTGAAACGGAAATTTGTGCCAACTCTTTGATTCCAAATATTAGCAAATATTTTGCTTGCCACGGTTAACCTTCATGCCAGGAAAAAAAAATAAAACCCTATTAAGGCAACTCTATCATCCATACAGCACTAGTATATCCATTACTAATTTAGCCCAGATTCTTTGGATGTCTTTTAAAGGAAAATGTCCAGAACAAGTAGTGAGCTGTTTTCTATTATTTTGTAAACTTTTATAGCCTAAGAAGACTTTAAATCAGTGGTTCTCAACCTTTTTAATGCCGCGACCCCAAACCAGTCATAAGTCGAGGACTAAACCAGTCGTAAGTCGAGGACTAAACCAGTCGTAAGTCGAGGACTAACTGGTCGTAAGTCGAGGACTACCCAACCGGTCATAAGTCGAGGACTTTCCCTGCCCAGGAGCGCCGCGCATGCGTGGTTCCGCCCCCTGCACCGGCGGAGGCGTAGCTGGCAAGCGGCAGAGATGGAGCAGGCTGACCACCAGCTGGCCCAGCCCAAGGGAGGTAAGGCACCCGCCAGAAAAGGGGAAAAAATGGCGGACAAAAAAATGGCGGACAGCCTTGCTTGGCGACCCCCATGAAATGGTTGATCGACCCCAAATGGGGTCCCGACCCACAGGTTGAGAACCACTGCTTTAAATCATCTTAACTGTTTCTATTATTTTGTAAACTTTTATAGCCTAAGAAGACTTTAAATCATCTTAACTGTTTTACGATAGCTTCAGAAATCTAGAATATCTGTTGTAATTAAAAATCAGTTCAGAGCTACACTAATATGCAACAGGCTAGACTGCCTCAGATCTGCTGTTTCGACACCCTTCTGCTTTAAGGTGATGCAAACAGTTATGTTTTTCACCTGTGAATTCTAATGTATCTTTTAGGATGTTGACTCTGAAATGCTACATAGGTAACACCTGCACAGATGTACATGCCACACATAGCTGTCACTCTGACATATATTGGTACATTCTAGAACAGTGGTGGCGAACCTATGGCACGGGTGCCAGAGGCGGCACTCAGAGCTCTCTCTGTGGGCACGCGCGCCATCGCCCCAGTCCTAGGCCTTCAGCTGGGTTTTATAAAACCTTTTCCCTTTAGGCCTTCGCTGCTCTGTGCAAAAAAAAAAAAGGTTGAACTTCTCAAGGGAAAAAAAAATCTTGCAAAGTTGGAATTGATTGAACTTTTTAGTCCCACCCAGTCTGCTGTTACCACCGCAGCCACGCCCAGCCAATGGGCCACACCCAGCCAATGGGCCACACCCACCCGGCACCCGACGATGCATAAGTGGGTTTTGGGTTACAGTTTGGGCACTCGGTCTCTAAAACGTTCGCCATCACTGTTCTAGAACAAGTCACAAAGTGAACAATACTTAGGGATCATGGAAATAGGCAGAGATCAATATTGTGGGTTTGTCAGATGAACACTTGGCCGGATTTTCTTTAACAAAAATCATATTTTACAAAGCATTTCAAAAGAATACTCTATTAACTATGATCAACAGTTACTCTTCCAACTCAGCCTAGCGGGAGAATTTTCTCATTTGCCTGCTTTTTGAAGTGTTTGTCCTGATTCGTCCAAAAGTAGGACTCGTCAACAATTCATTAAGAGTGGGATGAAATGGTAAATGAAGAGGAACACCACATCTGCAGATGACATGAAATTGAGTGGGATCAATGACGAAGAAGACAAAAACAACAAACTGTACGATGACCTTGATAAGCTAGAAAAAAGGGGTTGCAATGTAATGAAATGTAATGAAGGATAAACGAAGAGGAAAAAATAATAATCAAATGCACAGTAAGAAGATGGAGGACGTCAGGTTGATGATACTTTTTTGTGGGAAATACTTGTACTTTGAAAAAGTAACTAATCACTAGGTGAATATGAATCCCTATGACAGTGGTGGCGAACCTATGGCACGGGTGCCAGAGGCGGCACTCAGAGCCCTCTCTGTGGGCACGCGTGCCGTTGCCCCAGTCCTAGGCCTTCAGCTGGATTTTATAAAACCTTTTTGCTTTAGGCCTCCGCCGCTGTGTGCAAAAAAAAAAAGGTTCAATCAGTCAATTTCAACTTCTCGCAGGAAAAAAAAAGATCTTGCAAAGTTGGAATTGATTGATTGAACTTTTTAGTCCCACCCAGTCTGCTGTTACCACTACAGCCATGCCCACCCAATGGGCCATGCCCACCCAATGGGCCATGCCCACCCAATGGGCCACACCCACCCGGCACCCGACGATGCATAAGTGGATTTTGGGTTTTAGTGTGGGCACTCGGTCTCTAAAAGGTTTGCCATCACTGCCGTATGACGTGGCTGCAAAAAATTCAAAACCTACAGTAATATTATTACAGTTCCCAAATCATGTAAAACAATCACCACCACATTCAAATATTTGGTCCAATTCTGGACATTTAAGAAAAGGGATTTAGAGGATCTAGAATGATGCCAGGGCTAAGGAAGCTAAGCCTTACAAGGAGAGACTTAAAAAATTAAGCGTTCTCAGACTTGATCAAAGATGACTGAAGCGAATATGGCTTCAGAAGAGGAAACAGAAGATCAAAACCAGTACTCTATCATCCCAGAGATATTGGACAAAATGAAGTTAGGTTCAGTTGGATGCTAGGAAAACTTTCTGTAATGTGACAGTGGAATCAATTACCAAAAGAGGTAACTTGATAGTGCAATCAGTTATAAAGAGGGGAATGACTTCTCTTTCATTGGATGTCTTCAAATATAGGCAAGGGAGATATCTGTCATGGATGCTTTATTCAGAATTCCTATATCGAGCAAATAATTGGACTCACTGGCTTAACTGAAAAATTCCAACTATAGGATTCTATCATATGTACGTTAAAACCCACAAAAGTGTAAAGATTATGACTGCAGGTCTACATTTGCACTCAAAGTCTGACAAATCTGCATGCACACATAAAGAAAATGCATTTTACCTTCTTCAGTAAAATCAATCTTACACAAAGGTTCAGAAAAAAAGGAAACTTTTTGATTTCTTCTAAATTAATATGCAAATTTGCACCTTCCTAGAAGAAGTATTTATCAAACTTGGATGATTTGTCAACTGAATTTTATCACTATTATCCCATCTGTTTTAATCATACCAGTAGGACAGCATCTTCTGTGTGTATATAAAACTGCAGATTTACATCCAACAAACTATGGGTATTATAGGTTAATTCTCTTTTGTTAGGTTCTGTTAAACATTATAAGTTATTTTTTCACTTTGGAGAACTGCCGTCTCAGACTTCAAACGATCCAAACGGTTACCTCAGAACCGTTATGAGCGCTTCCCAAATCCTCAACAGATCTGCAAACATTTCTTTGCGCTGAATGAAATTTCTCAGAGCCATACCTCATAATTGTACAGCTTTAAACATGAGCAAACCAGACTAAAATATTATTCCACCACCTCTTAAGTTCCTAGCTCCACCGATGATTTCTTGAGCAGCTACAGGTACTCCTCGACTTACAACCGTTTGTTTAGTGACCGTTTGAAGTTACAACAGCACTGGAAAAAAAAGCGATCGTAGGACCATTTTTCACAGTTACAACTACCGCAGCCTCCCCAGGGTCACGTGATCAAAATTCCAAGGTTTGGCAACTGAGTCACATTTACGGTGGTTGTAGGGTCCTAGAGTTACGCAATCACCCTTTTGTGACCTTCTGACAAGCCAAGTCAGTGGGGGAAAGCCAGATTCGCTTAGCGACTGCATTACCAAGTTAACAACTGCAGTGATTCGCTTAGCAGCTGTGGCAAGAAATGTTGTGAGATGGAGCAAAACTCACTTAACAACTGTCTTGCTTAGCAACAGACATTTTTAGGCCCAACTGTGGTCATAAGTCAAGGACTATCTGTTATAACCCATACTCATTTTCGGACGGGATCTTAGTCACCTCTACAGACAGCCCACCTGAAGCGTTATTCACGCGTGGACTGACGCTCTCACCTTCCAAGGCTCTACCACAGCTCTGCCCCTCTTTCTCTCTCTCTCTCAGATCTCTTCCACCTACATTGCCACCTCTTCTGCTGGTCTTGGCCACGTCAGGTTTTCGTGGTTTCTCCTCAGCTTCTGCTTCCTGTGTGCCAAGAACCCTCCCTCTCCTTCCAACAATCCCACAAAACTCACTTCACGTGGCTCGTTATCCGTCACTAATCTCAGCTCCGGTGCTATCTGCTGCCTCTCGCGCGCCTAATCGTATCGAAGATAAAACACAAAGATGGAAACAAAAAGACAAGTTATCACACACAGGCCTCTCAATGGGATGACTCCATTCACCAGTCTTCCGCCATTTCTTGCCCTCCCAACGCAACAGTTTTAGCGAACGGCAGCCTCAGATCTGCAAAACTGTGGCGGCCAAGCTCACATTGGTATCGATCGACGTGGCCTTTGTCTCTGCTTGCAGTCAAGGTTTACAGTCAGCCAAGTTTAATAAATAAAGACTACCTCAAGGCTAGAAAGCAGACACATATAAAACAATTGCTCATCCCTACAAATTATGCAACCTGCTATAACATCTAAGATAAAGGAGATAAGCGTTGGCATTTTATTTTGTTATGCTGATTTGTGCGTAATCTGTATCCATTACACAACACTAAACTGCTTGGTATCTCAGGAGCGCAAGTAAGAATACCAACAGATGTCTTTAAAAAAACCAAACACCTGAATTAAATAAGCATGCGTTGTAAAGACTAAACATTCACATGTGCACATGCACACACGTGTACTAAGTATGTTTCCAAAGATTAAATTTCTATACCACTCACCATATTCTGCAGGATACAAATGTATCTAGTAGTGGTAAAAGTATATTTTTGACAGTTAATTAGCCTATTCCATCTAAAGGGGGGGGGGGAATCGCATTTCTTCTGAAAAATCTCACTAAGCATTATTTTCATAGCTCAGGCTAAAATTCAGAGATAAAAGCAGCAAGTAGTCTCTTTACAGCATAGCAGTTGATAAAAGAGAAACTTTGTAGTCTTATTTCTATAATTTTGCAAATGTTAAATATTCTGTTACTTTAGGGAACTTGTTGTGGTTTGCCCCAAAAAACCTATGGTATAAAACAGGGGTCTTCAAACTTGGCCCTTTTATGACTTGTGGACTTCAACTCCCAGAATTCCTCAGCCAGGTGAGGAATTCTGGGAGTTGAAGTCCACGAGTCATAAAAAGGCCAAGTTTGAAGACCCCTGATATAAAACGTCCCATATATCCTTTTCAAATATATTATGAATAAGCATTTTTTACATTCAGGTTTTACTCTACACGTAGTCCTTGACCTACGGCCACAATTTAGCCCAAAACTTTTGTTGCTAAGCGAGACGGTTGGTGATTTTTTCCCCATTTCACGACCTTTCTTGCCACAGTTGTTAAGTGAATAACTGCAATTTGTTAAGTTAGCAAAACTTAACGGTTGTTAAGTGAATTCGGCTTCCCCAGTGACTTTGCTTGCCAGAAGGTCGCAAAAGGGGTTCACGTGACCCTGGGACACTGCAACCGTCATAAATATGAGTCAGTTGCCAAGCCTCTGGATTTTGTTCATGTGGCCATGGGGATACCGCAACGGTTGTAAGTGTGAAAAATGGTTGTAAGTCACTTTTTTCACTGCCGTTGTAACTATGAATGGCCATCACATCACTGTTGTAATACAAGGACTACCTGTGTTATATTGTAGAATAGAAAATCTTGTGGGATTTTTCAGGTTAAGCAACTCATTTCTAGATACTGTTTCCTGAATCAGTATGTTTTTTTTTCCTTACATTATATATTCCTTACATTATACCTGGTATCAAGCTCTTTTTTAAAAAAAAACAACTTTTTATCAAGTCTAAGTAACCCTTTTTTCACTCTCTTCCCCATCCTACAACTCAGGCAAGCATGCCATCCTGGCTCATTCTCAATCATGAAAAAAGGGACTTCACAGTGCTAGGCTGCATTAACTGTGGGATAGAATCAAGATCACGTGAAGTGTTAATACCACTTTACAATGCCTTGGTAAGGCCACACTTGGAATACTGCATCCAGTTTTGGTCACCACGATGTAAAAAAGATGCTGAGACTCTAGAAAGAGTACAGAGAAGAGCAATAAAGATGATCAGGGGACTGGAGGCTAAAACATATAAGGAAAGGCTGCTGGAATTGGGTATGTCTAGTTTAACGAAGAGAAGGACGAGGGGGGGACAGGATAGCAGTCTTCCAGTATCTCAGGGGCTGCCACAAAGAAGAGGGAGTCAAGCTATTCTCCAAGGTGCCTGAAGGCAGGACAAGAAGCAACGGATGGAAACTAATCAAGGAGAGAAGCAACCTGGAACTAAGGAGAAACTTCCTGACAGTTAGAACAATTAACCAGTGGAACAACCTGCCTCCAGAAGCGGTGAATGCTCCAACACTGGAAGTTTTTAAGAAGAGACTGGACAGACATTTGTCTGAAATGGTATAGGGTTTCCTGCCTGAGCAGGGGTTGGACTAGATGACCTCCAAGGTCCCTTCCAACTTTATTATTATTATTATTATAACTAAGCAACTCATTTGATATTTTAAATGAGGGCGTGCTTGAAGATCGCAAAACTGTGTTATTTTAACATTATCGTCAAGAAATAGTATCTGGAATTGTAAATTCATACCACCTGGGCCAACGGAGGGTCTTCTCTGAGAATCACTGCCCAAAACAGTGGCTACTAAAAGGGAGGAAAAATAACCCACCAAACTATAATACGTATTCTTCCTTGGAGAAGAGTTTATCTTCCATTTCGCATCTCAGTGGATTTGAACTTCTTCCAAAAAGTTACTTTTACATCAGCTTTATTTTGACTTTTGCTGCCACTGCTCTTCCTTTTATACATCTAACCAGGCTAAGAGCGTACAGGTAGCCCTCGACTTACAACAGTTCGTTTAGGGATCGACCACAATTACAACGGCAGCGAAAAAATATTGTTCTGTCCCAGCCTACGTGAGTCCTTGTTAAGCTCACAAGGAGAAACCTTTCTTCCAAACAACCAGGCTGGAACCGCAGGAAAAAAACCAATCCCCTTTTATTATTCACAGACCTGAGTTAATGTCCAAGGCAAACAAACACAATTCACAGAAACTCGATTCCTCAACACGAACGGTTGCCTTCAGCAACCAGCACCTCCCACACCTTCCCTTTTATTATGCAGCCAAGGCGTGGCTTCCTAATGCCTTCTCCTTTGCCTTTGGAGCCGCCCCATTGCATTCCTCTGTCCTACTCGCTTCTCTTGCCGGCGTTTTCGTGCATCCTGGATATCTCCCAGCTGTGATTCATCACTGTCCAACTCAGACTCACAGCACAGCTGTGTCTCAGCCTGAGCGCGAGTAGAGGGGCCAGGCTCCTCGTCAGACTGCAAGTCTTGGAGCTCTTCAGAGCCTTCCTCTAACTCTGATGTCACTCCAGGCCCCTCCTCCTCCTCTGATTCCTCAGACTCAGCTGCCACGTCCACTGGCTGGCGAGGAATCACAACAAAAATGACTTAAGACTGTTTTTCACAATTACGGCCATTGGCGCATTCCTGTGGTCATGTGATCAACATTCGGATGCTGGGCACTGAAAAAAATAACTTATGACTGTTTCCCCATGTGACCATTGCAGCATCTCCATGGTCACGTGATCAAAATTTAGACGCTTGGCAACTGGCTCATATTTATGACGGTTTATAGTGTCCCGGGGTCATGTGATGCCACCTTTTGTGACCTTCTAAGGCAGTGGTGGTGAACCTATGGCACGGGTGCCAGAGGCAGCACTCAGAGCCCTCTCTGTGGGCACGTGCACCATGCCCCAGAGATGGCAACTGTCCCTCTTCAACCAGCCGCCTGCTAACTCGTGGCCGGATGCATCACGGCATGGCTGGTTTCCCTCCCCCCCCCGTCCCATCCCTCCTGACCTCGCATGCTCTCCTTTTCCTGGGCACGACCCACTGCATCGCCTCCTCAGCTGTCGGCCGGCCATCCAGCTCAGAGGTGGCTTCTTTGAACTGCTGGCGGCGGGCTGTGGAGCCCCCGAATGCACCAGTTGAGGGGCCAGCAGGCTGTGGCTGCTGACGGACACTGTCGGCCCCCATGTGCTTGTTGGCCTCTGTGTCGGGCAGCAGCCGCCCCGGTCCTTACTTTGCCCCATGGCAATGGCACCCCACCCTGCCTCGTCTCACCCCGCAGGGTGAGCCTCCTGCCTACCGCCCCACCTGTCAGAGACGCCCTGGATCTCCCCCAACCCTGCCCACCCCCCACAGGCATCCCTCCCCACGAGCAACACTGAGGTGACCACGCTCACCTTGGCCATACCCACCCAATCTGCCATGACCACCACAGCCACGCCCACCCAGTGGGCCATGCCCACCTGGCACCCTGCGATAAATAAGTGGGCTTTGGTTGCAGTTTGGGCACTCGGTCTCTGAAAGGTTCGCCATCACTGTTCTAAGGAGCAAAGTCAATGGGGAAGCCAAATTCACTTAACAACCTTGTTACTAACTTAACAACTGCAGGGATTCACCTAAGAACTGGGCAAGAAAGGCTGTAAAATGGGGGGGAACTCACTTAACAAATGTCTCACTTAGTAACAGAAACGCTGGACTCAATTGTGGGCGTAAGTCAAGGATTACTTGTATTTCCAGCTGGACAGTGAAGTCCGCTGAATACTCTCCTGTCATCTCCAAAGCAGCAACAGATTTTGAAAGGCCCTCAGCGAGGTTTCAGCAATGAAGAAGACACGGATGGAAACTAATCAAGGAGAGAAGCAATCTAGAATTAATGAGGAATTTCCTGACTGTTAGAACAATTAATCAGGGGAACAACCTGCCTCCAGAAGTTGTGAATGCTCCAACATTGGAAGTTTTTAAAGAAGAGACTGGACAGCCATTTGTCTGAAATGGTAGGGGTTGGACTAGAAGATCTCCAAGGTCCCTTCCAACTCTGTTATTGTTATTCCGTTAAGTCATAAGCCTGGGGCACTACTTCTCTGGCCCCTGACCTGGTCAATGCTGCTTCAGGGGTAGCAGCCCCAAAGGTTCATTCCTTCTGCATCTTTCCTTAGCAGGCAGCAATGGTTCTTTTGGATCCATAATTTGTGACCAGCGCTTTAGACTTCCTTAGACCTTTTCCCCTGAATCCAAGGCAAGCTGATCCGTTAGCATTTATTCTCATCTGCTGGGCATGGATTTAAGAAGGAACTGTGCACACAG